ATGTATTATAGATAAACATCTATATATCTATATATTATGTATACATATATAATGTGTATATATATATAATGTATAATATATATTTAGACATATCTGTATATCGTGTTGCCAGGATGGTGCCTGGCTGCATTGCTATATCTTTCCAACGGGCAAGCTTGGGAGCTGCTCTCTAAGTCTTCGCTCGCGCAAGTGAGAAACGCCTCAAAGACCATGATCCACAACAACAACCTGGCAACTTAGAGTCGCACTTGCTTCTTTCACGAATCATGTTCTCGACTTGTGTCTTTCATTTTCGGAGCTCTTGCAAAAACAACATGCCCTGAGCATACACGAAACAAACATCTGCCCCTGAGCTCGGTGGGCAATGAAGGCCCACCCAGAGCGAGCCCAAAATGATCGAAAAGGAGCTATCCACGATCCTACGCATCCGCTCTCAAGGAATGAGCGCTTGAAGAACGCCACCCAGCAAACCTGATTCGGATTGCGCACGCCAATCGAACCAAATTCGGCCAAGCTACAAAAGCTAAGTTACTTGCGTCCTGAGGATTCTTGTTCATGAGCGTAGGAGAACTCTAAGGGAGATAGGTGCTTTGATCTTCTTGTCAGATTTGTGTGCGTCAGTAGGAGGCGTGTGGCTAAGGTTACGCTGTTGATGCCTTTCCAATCCCTAGTCTAGCAACCGATGCCTGAGATCCTGTCCAACTTCTTCCTAAACTGTCGCCCTCGCTCACATGTGCCCAGTCCTCCAGATCGCAAGCTTCTTCGCCTGAGGGCTTCTGCCAGAGATGTGACAGCTGCTCAGGATCTATCAATTTACACGTGTATATATATATATATATAATATACATTTTCTTTGTTGCATCAACAGACGATGGAATTCATGGACTCCGCCGTAGATTTACGTATACATTCCTGCTGAACAAACGAACACGCTGGACACGAAGCTTTGTCATGCCGTTTCGCACATCCACACCATGTTGATCTATGCTCTATGTCCCTTCAGTGGGATGTTTTGAGGCTTGTTCCCTGCTAGGCCGCCTCCCAACGGCCGTGAAAACAGCAAATCTGTTCTGGCAAGGCTGAACAATGTCATGAATCACGAATCCAGGGAATGCTCGGGGTGAACTAGGGTCCCGTCGGGCCCATAGTCTAGACATGGAGGTATCGCAGGACACCAAGCCTCCTATCAAGCTGCTGGACTTCCATCCACACATGCTGCTTCAAACTCAGCTCAGGGCCAAAGCCCTCGAGCTGTCAATATTGACCACCAAAGGCAATTGTTCTTCTGACCAAAGCACCCAAGGCCATGCAAACGGCCAACGGCTTGGCAGCCGCTGAGGTTCAACATCTCAGGTTGCCGGGGCGACAAATTTCATGTCGCTTTGCTCCCGTGCCAAAGCTGGCTTCATGCAATCGTGTGGCACACAGACTTTAGCTTTGGCTCAAGGAAGTCTGCATACACGTCTTTTTGTTTGCTTGCCAGATCAAGAAGAAGCCCGGATTGCGCTGTGCGTCTTTGAATCAACTGTTTGATGTGCCGCGAGGGCACACCTACAAGAGCCCAGAAAATCAGAACCCACGACCAAAATCGAGGAGAACAGATCAAACGACATCCATTGATGCCCATTGCCTTCTGATTCTGGCTCCGGCACTGGAGGAGCCTGCAGACAAAGGCAACGGGAAGGAGAGCTCACCATCACCACAAAGGGGTGATGTTCAAGCTGCATTGAAAGGGAAACATAGGGGCCCATGTTTCAATCTCTATTCTTTTTAAAACAACTCTTTGTGATTTCCATTTAAAGTGGCCAGGGCCGGCCGGCTAACCACACCGGTGCTTGATCAAGGTATTTTGCAGGAGGACCCAAATCTGATGGATTCGTCCCCACCAAATTGGAGATCACCGATTTCGCCCCAAGGGTGACATCAGGATAATAGGAATTTGTCGGAACTGCCATGTGCCGCTTTCTGAATCATTCTCGAATCAGGATGGAACACGATTTGAAACTCAATTATGCTCTTTCCTCTTGAGTAAACTTCTCACAATACAACAGCAGTTGACCTCGCCGCGCCACCTTGAGTGCATTATTAACATTTGGCGCACTCTGCGATCGAGAGAAACTCTACCGACGCTTGTGTGTAGAGGGTAGCTAATCATCTTGGGTGAACGGATGTGGGCTTCCGTGCCCGGCATTTGGGCTCAACCGCTCGCAAAAACTGCTCGTGTCTACATCCCTGTCTCCAAGGTTGGTCCGAGTCTTTTGGCTCCAGATGGGCATGAAACCCGAGGGGCCCAAGGGCAGATCTCTTTAAGCATTGGGGTTTTGGGATTCCATGTTAATCTGCAGAGTATCTTGCTCACAGGGGAATAGCCATTAAGTTTGCAGCACCTGTTGTTGCAGCTCGCTTGTTCTTGTGAAAAGACTCGTTGCTGCATGTGTCATGGGCAAAATCCAGCCGCCCCAAGCAAATCGAAGCTGACCTCTCGGCTTTCCTCACATACCTCCAGCATTGTCAAATAATTGAACTCGTGTACATCATTTGCCATGCGGGTCTCTTGGGACATGTGCGACGGAAACCATAACTTTTGGAAGGGCTGTCTGTGTCCCCCACATCCCCAACCTTGGCATCGTATCAGATGGTGGCGCTTGGTCATAAAGCTTGGCATGCGCTTTCTTCAGGCTCCGGGTACCGTGCTTGGACTAAGCAGAGTAGGGGCTCTGGGTCCCAAATGGATGCGTTCCGGAACCTTTGAGCTGAAATCGCATTTTTGCAGTGCTGTCTTGACCGGAAACGAGCATCATACAAAACATCTTGCTCCCTCCGCCGATTTGCAGGGCATCGCAATTGTGGTTGGGCGAATGTGGTGCAGCTTTGCAATCAACTTAACATGCTATTCCCATTGGACAAATCACATGATCGTAAGCATTTTGCGGCAATTCCGGCTGATTCTCAGAGCACACCAGTCCAAACAGCGTCAGCAGCTGGGGTAGCGAGTTTGAAGTTGCAACCCCGCGGTGCCACGGCCCCAGGTGGCCCGGTTGGTGATCGTTGCAGTACCAGCTCATTCCAAGCCGTTGTTCTGCATCATCAGCATCCAAGGGCTTTCTGAAGCCTTCATTGCAAATTGGACTGGCAGGCAGACAGCCAGACAGGCTGGCAGTGCTTCACCTGGCTGTGTGTCAACACTAGGCACCCAAAATGGAGCCCTGCTAAATGGATTCAAGGACTAAAATCTGCGAAGCCCCATTCCTGGTGGTTTAGTTTTGACTAGCCACCTTTCCATTCTTACATTCCTCAAGCTTGGGTGCTGTAGATCCCCCAGCAAAAAGTTAAACTTTTTGCTGGCTAAAGAAAATATGAGGGGAATCCCAAAAGTTATAGTCTAAAGATCCAACACAATAGCAGTAGAGAAGCTATGTTTGGGATTTGGAGCGCATCCATCCGCACCTCTTCCACCGAGGCGCAGCGGAGGAAGTACCGCGGTCCTGAGGTGCAACAGCAACCGGTCCAGGTGGCCATGTATCCGTGCCCTCTGTTTTGCTCTAATCAAATGGGTGAAGAGAATGGGAAATCAAACCTTAGACCAAGTGAACTGGTGGTGTCGCACTGCTTTCGAACACAAGCCTTCCTGCTCAGAAGCTGGACCCTCGTGTTTTGAAAGAGATTCTTGTGGTGGCAAAGTGCGCGACCAGATCTGGCTACTGCATAGGTCAACTTGAGGCGCAGTTTGTTCTGAGCGAGTCCCAACCGAAGGCTAGGTGTTGGGATTGCACAAGGAATGTTCAGCTGAACCGAAGACCAACACCCACAGAAGTCTCCAACTGGGTCCTCCGGGAACCCTCCCCAAAAAAAGGGTAAAAGGGCACTACTGGAGGACCTATTCAACCACAAGATTCGTGTCTTGGAAAAGACCAAGACTACAACTGGTTGGGACCTGACTTAGAGTCTAGCGCCGTACATCCGGCCCGAAAACCAGCGGGGAACCCCAAATTGGCATAGCGTTACTGCCTGCCCGGTTCTCACAGGGGCACAGGGCAGAATTTGGGAGGTTCAGGTTTCCAGCGTCTGATTGGGATGGTGAGCTGATAGGTGTTCTGCTTCCTATCTGATACCCTCCAATCCACTTTCTTGGAACCTGCAACGTCGGTCCCAAGTTTCTTTCTCAGGGACTCTCCGGGGGGTGCCATCTGAGTTACTTAAACTTTGGACGGCCAATGTGCGACACTGGGCCGCCGGCGCTCTGTGCATGCCATTGGTCGAAATCGACTAGCAACGCTTGAAGGCCTTCTTGGACTTTCCATCCAATTTGTTCGAACCAGTGCGGCATAGCCCCGTGGCAATTCTGGGGCAGACTTCAGAGACTGCAGAGGAAAAACTTCAGTTTGCTGAAGTTTTGCGAACTTCTGCAGAAGGGCATTATCCAAGAGATTGTCACTCCCGTGTTTTCGGTTGTGCGAGCCCGCAATGTTGCAGGGCCATTCCTTGAGCAAAAGACCGCAGCAAGCGAGGATACCGGGCGGTCGCAGCATAGCCAAAGAACCTCAACTTCAACTCAAAAACTTCCGTGTCAACTTCCCGCAACAGCAGCAAGAGCGCCTGAACATTCGATGGTCTTCTTTGCAAGTCCTCTCACATCTCGTTTTTGAAAGCAGTCTGGCAGTTTCCGATTGTGGATACAGCTAGTAAGGCTGAACTGCTTTGATTCAAGCCTTCATGGCTTGACTCCATTTCAAGTGTCCTCCCCCCTTCCCAGCTGTACGTCTCCTCATTGGACAATGTCGGACTGTGGCCTCTCATAAGGGACAAATGAATGACTTATAAGGGTGTTCCGCTCCCACCAGTCGCACTGCTCAAATTCATGTGTGAGGATCGCGCGAAACAAATTTAAGCACGGTTTTCACAGCGCAGCCTTAAAGCAATCCATGTCTTCAGCCGCTGCCCTAAGTTTCCTTCGGCACCGGTTCAATCTGGTCGGAGCAATGTTGCAACCCATTCCCCGCCTCCACCGACACTGGTGTTTTCGGCGTACTGGAAAGCTCCTGGCACTCGACAAGACCCAATGCGCGGGATCTATTTTGACCTGCAACTCACTGCAGACAGCACATCTTTGCGACACGCTCGGCTTGTGCTCCTCAGGCCGTCGTCCGGGCAAAACCAGGTCCCACGCAGAATTTCCGGCTGAGTGCCCTTGGCGATGCATCCCAAACCTATTCGTGCCATATGGGTGTGGCTCAAAATTAAATCGGTGGGGTACGCAGGTTTTGGTCCACGCTTCCACTTACCAGGGCAACCCATTTTGGAATTCCGGGCTTTTGAGCCACAGCCATATCAAAACCAACAAACGCCAAAAACTTCGACACTCCGCGCTCGCGGCGAAAAAATCGCCTGCGGCTGCAAGAGCTTCCGCCTGGGGCTTGACAAGGCCTTGGCAGGGGCCATAGCCTTTGGCCCTGCATCAGTCCCCAGGTCCAATCACGTGGATGTTCCATGAAAGGCTCAGAGTCTCTCTTTGCCTCTTCGTTTTTGGAAAGCACTGCGTTTAAACTAAGGCTTGTCAATCTAAATGATCTGGTCCCTGGTTGAATCATTGCCAAGAGCTGCAAACAAACAGTCACAGCATCCGCTGCTGTTGCGCGAAGCCAACATCGTACACGTCGCTTGTGCCGCATTGGAACTTCAATCATGCACAACTTCAGCTTCACAAGTCTGTCCCACTGGTACCAGGCCAAGCACAGGAATACCCAAACTATTTATTTGAATTGAAAGCGCCTGCTTTCACCAGCGGATTCAAGGTTGCCATCAGTGTCGATGAATCAGACTGATACAAGAGTTCAGCGTTGGAAGTCATTCACCGATGAAGTCAAGGTATCTTCTCAAGTTGATCCACCGTATGCATTGGGCGTTTCTGATCAAGATTCAAACAACTCAACATGACCTACTTAGATTTGTTGGGGAATCTGGTTTTGCTTTCATCGGCAGTGCATGAGACGGACGCATTAAGTTCTGTTGGTCTGTCAAGTGGCGTGCCCCCGGTCACTCTTCCCGCACATATGCGCGACCAAAGCTGACCAACCACATATACACACACACACATGCAGAATGCTTTTGCGCAGGCGAATTCAAACACACGCGCGCACTATATATGTACATACGTCCATGTGTGCGTGTGTGTGTGTGCAGGGGTGTGCGTCTGTGTCTGTGTCTGTTTCTATGTCTGTGTCATTCACGCTGCTCTGCCTCTCTGTGCAGGGTGGGTGGGGGCGAGGGGCGGGGGGGGACGGGGGAAAGGGTGGTTGCAACACAGGCATTGCCTTTTGCCATCACCAACTTCCGGCTTATCTTGTTTGTCTCATGTATCCTTCTCAACCTCTTCTTTTGCGCATACCTCGGTTTGTATGTAGGTAAGGATGTTCAAGTTCGTGTATGTTACCGTATGTTAGTGTATGTTAGTGATTAGCGTGTTTTAATGTATGTAAGTGTGCGTTAGTGCATGTCAGTGTGTGTTAGTGCATGTTAGTATCTCCTAGCGTATGCTGGTTTATGTTAGCTTATGATAGTGAATATTATATGTTAGTGTATCTTGGCGCATGTTAGTGTATCTTAGTGTATGTTAGTGTATGTTGGTGTATCTCAATGTATGTTAGTGTGTGTGTGTGTGTGGTGTGTGTGTGTGTGTGCGTGCGTGCGTGCGTGCGTGCGTGCGTGCGTGCGTGCGTGCGTGGGTGGGTGGGTGTGTGTGTGTGTGTGTGTGGGTGCGTGGGTGTGTGTGTGTGTGTGTTTGTGTATGTTCCCTGTATGTTACTGTACCTTCGTGATTTGTGTATGTTAGTGCATCTTCGTGCATGTTGGTGTATGTGAATGTATGTTAGCGTGTCAGGCAGACAGGTAGGTAGGTAGGTAGGTAGGTAGGTAGGTAGGTAGGTAGGTAGACAGGCATGCATGTATGTGTATGCATACATGTATGTATGTGTGCATGTATGTACGTGAGCTACGTCAGTTAGTTGCTACATGGCTGAATGGTCAGGTAATCCCAGCTCATTCTCCAACCCTGAACCCGTTTGGACTCATCGACCTCGTTGTCCAACGCTGCATCTGCGATCTCAGCCGCCTATATGTCAAGGCCGTACCTCGGGGTGTTCCTACCTCGTGGTGCACGTAATTCAGTATGTTGCCAAGAAATTCACCTGGCCTTGATTGTAGTCTTCTGCAAATAAAGGCAGTCGTTTATGTATAAATGTGTTGTGTTGTAATGTAGTGTAAGACAATGTGACGTGATGCGATGTGATGTGATGTAGTGTAGCTTAATGCAAAGTATGTTGGGCACCTGTCAATTTACCTGTGTGTGCACGTGCAAAATGCAGGCTCATTCTGCGTTTGAACGTGAGTGTGCACGCAAGTGTCTATGCATGTATGCTACTGGTGCACGTATTTAAGTATGCAAACGGGCATGTATGTACTGTTGTACGCGTGTTTACTTTTTTTTGTTTATGAATTAAGGCTCTCATCAAGACATGAATATCAGTTTTCCCAGACCAACCCCCCGCACACTAGACCAGTCTCATGCAATAGTAAACAACTAAACCAACAACATCCGCACCCCAACTGCAGTCGCATTACCGGGTACCACAAAGCGAAGCACTGACTGCTTGCCCTGAAAAACAACAAGGACCGAAGTGGAAACCCTTGGTGGACCTAGAAGACTTTCAACTTTGGCAAGAGAAATCCAAACAGTGAACAACTATCTTTCAATACCAAATATTCATGAGTAGGCTGGGTGTACTTCTGACAAAGAAGTCACTGAGAGGAGTCTGAGGAAAAGTAAGACAGTTGCTCCGCAATCCCTGGTACAAGGTCGCGTGCACGAACTGTCACGATCCAACTCGGTGTCCAGTTTGGGAACCAACTCTTCCGCATGCGCAGTGCTGAGCGAATTCTCTTCTGCGGGTGTTCTTTCTGTTGGGCAAGCTGCTGACTCAGGGGATGTGCTTATCATTTGGCAAGCGTGTGTGCAATGCTGAGTCAACGCTCTGAGCGGACTGGTGAGAGAATCTGATGGCTAGACTTCAGCCGGACCAAAACACGACTGTCAATTCCACTCGTCTCCCGATCTCATGGAAAATTTTGGTACCTGGTGCTGGTGGCAACCAAAGCTTTGAGGCTCGGTCCTTCGCCGAAACTGGGAGCCGGGCATCTTCGTGCTGCAAGCGCAGGCGGTGCAGCAGCTGCCCAGGCGCTTGCTTTCCCGACCAAAACGGTTCATGTTTTTGAGTCTATGGGTTCAGCACAGGTTTGGGGTTGAAACATCAGGTCCCGCTGGCATGGAGAATTCCTGCCATCGCATGCCACGCTGCCTCGTGCATCACAACTGCTCTCCACATCAAGACTTGTTTTCACCTCTAGCAACGCTACCCTGTGCAAACAATGGTCAAAAGTAACATTTAAATTGGGCAGCGTTTGACGAAACTAGTTTCAAGAAATGCTTGTGGAGGATTGCCTTGTGCAGCGATGAGCTGCTGAAAGGGGCTTCACGTAATGCGTGTTTCTGCATCAGCCAAATGATTCTCAGTGCAGTTTACACATTTCCGTCCAGGCCATAAACAACGACTTGTGGCTGAAGCTGCCAAACTTTGCTGCTCCCGGGGCCAGTTTTGCCCCCAGAATTTCGCTCCCAACATACACATCGAGTACCTGCACGATTCACAGGGGTTTTTCTCTGCATCCACCGCCCAATGTCTAAACCAGCTCACACGAATCTCCCTCACCTTGGTCTGAAGCTCTGGGCTTGCGAGCATCCCGGCAGCTCGCCGGGAGACGCCTCAAACGAAGGATCAAATCTGTTGATCAAGGACATGATGTCTCGGAGATTTTCGTTTGACTAGGGTCCAGGTCAACCCCAAGCTAACATGATCAAAGCCGCGCCGACTTGTGCAAAGGTTGGGTTCAGGCCCAGCCCGGACAAGTCTCCTTAGCTACTGAAACATGGGTCATGAGAGGTCCTCATATGTAAAACAGCGAGCACATTGGCCAATTGGAGCGTCGACTGGGGGCTTGGAAAACTCTGCTGAATCCAAGCTTCTTGCCGAGTTTTGAAGTGTACCTGCCAACCTAAACTGCCTTCCCATCTTGCCGCAGTACTGCTTAGACGTCTCGGCAGTTGTCTCACTAACAACATGATGTGGATACAGTTTCCATTCTCAGCGGAAACTGCTTCAAGTAGAACCTGTTCTGACGCAAGCACCTACATCATAGCTTGTCCATGCGTCCACTCAGTAGGGTCCTCGACGTATCACAGCACAGATTCATCTGCATGGCTTCTCTGGACATTCACGGTTCCTTTTGCAGCGTGCTTAGACTTGAAAAGTCCCGCATGAAAGCAACAGCAACGTACCGTCCACCGAATGACAAAAACACATCCAAGGCAACCAAGAAAAAACACGTCCGTGTATGTCAGCCCCACTGGGCAAACCCATCCTGCAACATCCTGTACTTGTATTAATCCATATATATATATATGCCTACATCGCATATTCGCTCATACACACGCACACAAACATATTATGTATGTATGTATGTATGTATGTATGTCTGTCTGTCTGTCTGTCTGTCTGTCTGTCTGTCTGTCTGTCTGTCTGTCTGTCTGTCTGTCTGTATGTATGTATGTATGTATGTATGTATGTGTGTGTGTGTGTCTGGCTGTATGCATGTATGCATGCATGTGCGTATGTTTGCACATGTATGTAGGTGTGTATGTATGCGTGTAAGTAGGCAGGTAAGTATGTATGTATGTATGCACGTATGTATGCAGGTATGTATGTATGTATGTACGTATGTACGTATGTACGTATGTACGTATGTATGTATGTACGTATGTATGTGTGTGTGCACCTGTGCGTGCATGTATGTATGATTGCATGATTGTATGCATGTGTATGCATGCATGTGTATGTGCATGTGTGTTTGCACACGTAGTTATGCATGTGTATACATGCATGCCTGTATG